ACACCACCGCTACGAGAGAGTGCAAAAGACGCATCGTGAGTGTTGAAGCCGTCGAGAGAGCGGAGGTAGGGCATTGTGGGCGCTTTGAACGAGTTGGTGTCGTCGGAGCCTGGGGAAATGTGAGATTAGCGAATGAGTAAATTGAAAAGGCATACCGCGAAGTTCGGGGACACTGTCGACGCCTAGGTGACTGTGCATATCGTTGATAGCTATCACAAGTTAGCAAACGTCAACTTGACAAGAATAGAAACACACCGGGAGAGACCCACGCTCCGCCAACATTCTTTGTGACCAACTTGGAGCCAGCATTATCCAACAGTACGGGTGGAACACGGCCAACGGCCTTGATAATGCCCTTGTCCAAGAAGATATCGCCCAATACGATTTCATACCCATCGTCACCTCCAGTCCAGATTGTCGCGTTTTGAATTAATGTCGGCGGTGTCCCAGGTTCGAAGCGATCAGATACCGTCCGGCTCCAGAAGCTTTGCGGCGGTCCAGGTTTCTCGTGGAGTGACTTGCAACGCGAGAGAGCGGACGTCGCGTGCGGTGGGAGAGAATGCGAACGGTGAGAGCGAGGGATATTACTCGCAGTCCAAACGATGAAGGCGACGGCACCGATGAATACAATAGCGAACGAGTTGAGCCGGAGAACGCAAGCGGGTTTATTACGGCGCACGGTCGGCGCCGTCGTCGGCAACTCTTCCGCCTTGCTCGCCATCGTGGTCAAGTGGAAGGAAGGCGGGTAATTGGAGTTTACTCTATAGGCTCGACTGCTAGTGTGCCTGTTAGTTAGCGCCGAGCGTTATATTGCAAGGCTGTATAGTGTAGTGGTTTAGCACTCGGGATTTTGACCACGTAAGCCGCCATTCCCGCAACCCCGGTTCGAACCCGGGTACGGCCTTTCATTTTTCTTGATTAGTTTTATGCTCCTTGAACGCCTATTTTGTATGGGAGAAGGTTGAATCACTCGAAATTTTCTTTGTCTCTCCGCACCCTTTTCTGAGCTTTAACCCCCCTCCCCCTACCCGAAACCTTAACCAGTCGACTCTGAATTCATCCTTCCCAAATTCCAGGTAGGATGCTTGCCTGGCATTTGAGGTATGCAGTCCGCAACCGACGGTATATGCTTTTAAGCGCCGAGGCCAATAGGCGCCAACCCTCCAGCCCCACGGCTTAGAATAACTTTTAGACCGTTGTTATGTTTATTCACCGGCCTGACATGGGTGAGCCAGGCTAGATCCAACAATAGAAACGTAGCATTTCTCCATATAAGAGCAGGAAGCTGCAGCAAGTGTGCCTAGACTTGCCCCAGCTAAATCATTCACACGTTGATTCAAATTACACGACTTAGGCTGCCAAACCAAGAGTCCAAGACAAAAAGGGCGAAAAGGAATATGGTATACAAAGAAGCGGCAACAGCAGCCCAGCACTAGAGGAACTAAACATATTATGCCTAGTGCTAATACGGATATTCATATGTAACTCGAGTTGAATAGAGGTAACAGTAATCCCACGTGCATTTATTCCACCACGCAAACATCAAGCATGGGAACTCAAAAGATTTAAATCCGTATAGCCGTCGTACCAAGGCTGCCCAGGCACCACGCGCCTAGGAACAGCCAACAGCGCACCGACTACGACCCCCGCAAACATGAGAGCAACTGCCGCACTCCGCATAACAATCTCCCACTGTGCACGAGTCACTAGCGGGCTCCACACGCGCGTGAGCGGCGCAATAGGCGGAGTAGAAGCTACATCCGCTTTGGAACGTCCTGGAATCGCTCGACGTAGACGGGAACCCAGCGAATTAGCCGCTGCGTCGAGTGAGAAAGAGCGTTGGTGCTGTGTGCTGCGACGACGTCCAGGTAGCTGGTCAAAGTCGAACGCGGGGCGGGCGTGCTTTTCATTTACTTGATCGAGCACGCTTGGATCAAACGGTGCAATAAACGGCGCAGTGTCGAATGGACTCGAGAGCGTAGGGGAGTATGGCGGGATAGTTGGGATACTCATTCCTGACATGTTCGAAATGTTGCGGGAATGACGGACGCGAGGAAGTGTAGTCACTAGCGGAGGGAGCGTAGTGGGTGACGCGGGGAACGGGGAAGATACATAGATATCATCCGGTGTGGTAGGCGAAGGCATAGTCTCAACCATGGGCGGACCACGAATCGGCACGACGGGCTTTTCGCTTACAGCAAGAGCAGTAGATCCGGTGTATGCGTGCCCTAATGTGAAGCCGGATATGGATTCGGGTATATGCGCGGGGTTGGTTGGATTAAGCGGCCTTGGAGACGAAATAGATGGCCTCGCAAGTTCAAAGGGATACAATTGACGAGCATCGCCTAGAATATAGATGACGAAACAGATGCCGTGGATGGAGCTTAAAAATACGGTTGCCCCAAGCCATAGAATCGGGAGGGCAGCAAGTCGAAGGGCACGAGGTTTGTCGCCTAGTATAGAAACCAATAGAGGAGCCAGAGCGATCAAGCTAGTTCCAACGCCTCCGATAAGAGCGCACCACACTCGTTTCTTGCCAGCATTGCTGATTCGCGCGGCAACAAAGCGGAGTAGAGATTCCCTCAGCATATACTCTACTTCCCGCAAGATATGATCAAAAGTCGTAGGAGGCGGATGTGGCTGTCCCTCTGTCGCATTCAGAAAGTTTGAAATCAGAATCGAGGCTAGATTGAGCTCGTGTGGGGAAGAATGAGA